TCTGGAAAGTTCTTATCTTAGCTTCTCTTGAGAGTCCTGGAGTGTGGAGGGCTGGAAAATCCGCACCTTAGTGGGTTCCACTGGATGCTCATTCTAGAGAACTCTGATACAACTGAGAGGATAGTAGGCCTGTATATTTGACTGAATAAAACTAAATCAACTTATTACGAACCGGGCTTATCAAATATTCAAAATATAAGAAAGAAATCTCATGGACCGGATTATCATTGGGCTAGTTCTACTGTGAAGAATGTTGTGACCGATGGGGAACCATTTGCTGCCCCGATTTTTTGCCAGTCACTTGCTTTATATTCGGCCATTACCACTTTATTTTATTGAATTTCATGATGGGCGTATTTCGTAGTTGCTAACTTTTGTTATTTGAAAATTGCGCGACCATTGGAATATTGCTTCCATATTTGTCGTCAATTGGGCTTCCGTCAATCCATAATAACTCCACAAGGGTTACTTCTAGAGCCAATTTGCGATGCGCCTGCTTTTCATTGATTCCAAACTCCATGAAGGTCTTCATTCAAATACTCGCAGTATGTTTGATAGAATGGTTAATGAATGATTGTTGAATATGGACAATTATAGTTCTCTTAAATAATTGCGGTTTTTGTTTTGGAGTTCAGGAGTTTATCTTCCACTGCTATGGGAGTCCTCATTTTGCTCTCGCGACCCTGTGGTCCTTGGCTATACGCGAGGCCACTTCACTGCCCTTGTTCCTACTGAGCCACCTCGCAGTCCTGCTTCAGCCGCATCTATCACCGCCTCTTTGTCCTCTGATAGTTCCGCAATCATCCCTGCCTCAGCCAATACAACTGCTGCTTCCTCCTCTTCAGCTTCTGCTGTTCTAAAATCGGAGGGTGAGATAGAGGGTTGCGCTTCGATAGAGCGGTGTGATCCGTCCCATCCCCCTGCCGCCTTTGAATACTCCATCTACCTCCCTCTTTTTGATCGACACGGTACTCCACTACCAATTCCCTTCGCCTCAAAGAGTGCCGTGGTACGCCTTATCTTTCTTTAGCAACGGCATTGTTGAGCTTTTATCTGATAGCTTTGTTCATCAATTTTTAAAC